GGGGGGGGAGGAAATGAATGTAATTTTAAAGGATTTCCAAATGAGGTTGCAAAAAACACACCTGCTGGTATCCCACAAGAACCTTCAACCAAATCGAATCGGGTCTTATTTTAAGAGTTCCATTTCATTATGTTCAAAAACAAAAAAGCCAACGCTCTCTCTCAGGCTTTTACGTTCACGCTTCCTGGACTGATTTGCACAATAACCTGAAGCCATTAACTGACACGAACTCTAGAGACTTGTATGAGGACCTGGGGAATCCGCTTGCCATTTATGAACTCTAGCTGAAATTAGGAAATTGCTGCATTGTGGAATGCCACTATGTGCACTCAGCGCTGTGTCTCATTCTTCCCCGATCAGAAACAATTTTCCATCATTGTTCCTAAACAGAAGATGGGGAAGCTATTAAACTTCAGGGCACAGGTGTGCTGTTTCCTCTGAATCCACTCTGATGCCAACATCTTGTCTTTTCTCTATTTTTAGACCACTCAGAGCACATGGTCACTACACCCTTTACTCTCCCTGACCAGGCATGGTCTCATGACCCTCATATTTCTACTTCTGCAGTAATCCACCAACAAGCATTATACTTGCAACACTTTTTCTGTGCCCCTACCAAGGCCTTCCTTCCTTTATAATATCACAGGTGCAGGATTTAGAGGCTTGAACTGCAAATCATGGAAAATTGGCGGGCAGAAAGGGAAAAAGAGCAGCCCCTACTTGGATGCCCAGAAGCACAGCTATCACTCCAAGCTAAAAGCAAGTAGTTCTCAAAGCTGGAGCAATCAGAAGCAAAATAGATCTGAAAAGCTCTTCCAGTCCATACACGCAAGTTAGAGAGCGGCCAGGACACAAGAGGATAATTTAGGAAGAACAGCCCACATGTTAGCAGTAACTTCCTAACTAGGAAAGGAAGGAAGCGTAGTGCAGCAGCCGCCTCTCCGTGCCCGTCTGTGGAGTAAGCGCTAGCTTCATCTACGTGCGCCGGAGACCACGCAGCGGCAGGCACCTCTGCAAGGACCAGGCACCTGCTCCCCAGGCGGGTCCAGGCTCTGCGGGTGCTAACTCCCCTCTCTGGCGAGCTCTCTCCTCCCTGCACCCGAAGCCACCTCTGGCGACCTGCCCCTTGCACAGTGAGGAGTTGAAACAGAAGGCAACTTTTTGAAGTCAATAAAAGGTCATTTACAACAAGACTGTCTCCCTGTCCTCGACAAATCCAGGCTCCACGTGGCTGGCACCATGCCCCCGGCACTCAAAAGGCCCTCTTTCCCCAGGGGCTCCTCAAAATGAGGAAAGGAGGACCAGCCTTTGTTAGGCTACAGCAGCGCAGTTCAAGCACTCCCAGAGGCTCAGAGCAGAAGGACACTCAGAAGGGGGGTCTGAAATGAAACTCCTTCCCAATCCTGCTCAGTCACTCTCCGGTCCCTGTCTCAGGCCTGTTTACATATTACTGTCCAAGCAATCTTACTCCACCATAGAACTACATAAGCTT